GTTTTCTTTACATTGAGAAGTAATTCATATTGAAGGCTGTGCTCTTTGATCTTCATCAGTAAATGTTTTAAGTCCTCTTCACTTTCAGCAAGCAAGGTTATATCATCTGCATATCGCAGGTTGTTAATGAGTCTTCCTTCAATCCTGATGCCATGTATTTCTTCATAGAACCCAGCTTCTTGGAAGATTTGCTCAGCATACAGATTGAATAAGTATGGTGAAAGAATACAACCTTGTTGCATACCTTTCTTAATTTTAAATCATCTGGTGTTCCCATGTTCTATTCAAACAACTGCCTCTTGGTCCAGGTACAGATTCCTCATGAGCACAATTAAGTGTTCTGGAATATTCATCGTTTGCAATGTTGTCCATAGCTTGTCATTATCCACACAATCAAAAGCCTTTGTGTAGTCAATAAAGCACAGGTAAACATCTTTCTGATATTTTCCACTTCCAGCCAAGATCCACTGGATATCAGCAATGATATCCCTTGTTCCATGGCCTCTTCTGAATCCAGCTTGAGCCTCTGGAATTCTATGTCAATGTATACTGGGATGTAATTTCTCATTGTACTGCATATTACATTGATAAAGTTTTTATAGGTTAAAAGTAAAGGTGGGAAACCTTGACCCTAGATGAAGTACACAAGTAATTTCTACTTCCATTTCTGGTGCTATAGAAGACTAAGTTATCTAGATTTCCTCTTACCCCTCAAAGAAAACAAAACTGCAAGATAAAATTTGTTTTAAGTTGAGATATAATTGTTGTTGTGTGCCATTGAGTTGGTTTCAACTCTTATTGACCCTGTATGGGGTTTCCAAGAGCAGCTGGATTGCTGATCCTACAATGCTTATCCTACAACACCACGGTAAATAGCACAGACCTTAAGAGTCCTGGTGTGGCACTGTGGGTTAATGCACCAGACTGCACAGTCATTTGAACTGCAAGGTCGGCAGTTCAAGCTCACCGGCTGCTCCTCGGAAACCTATACAGAGTTGCTATGGGTCAGAGCTGACTCGACAGCACTCAACAAAAACAACAACAACAACCAGTTTATATAGTGCAATGAGTTTTGTTAAAGGCATATCTCCATGAAAACACATATACCAAAATATTGAATATGTTCATAAACCCAGAAAAGCCTATACCAGCCAATCCATGCACCCCCACCAGGCAACCTCTGTTTTGATTGTTCTTGAACTTCATGTAAGTGAAATAATCTAATATGTATATGTGGTAGACAGCTTTTAAAATGGATATTAATTATCTCACCTGTTGATGACATTCATATCCATGTGTAATCTCCTTCCTTTGAGAGGGGACTAGGATGCTGTGGAATCAGTTTCTACTCATAGTGATCCTGTATAGTGTTTTTGAGGCTGTAAATCTTAATGGAAGCGGAAAGCCTCATCTTTCTCCCTTGGAATGGCAGGTAGTTTTGAACTGCTGACCTTGATGTTAACTGCCTGATTCATAACCACTATACTACCAGAGCTCCTTTTCTAATGAATTGTTGCTGTTATGTGCCATGGAGTTGGTTCCAACCCATAGCGACCCTGTACAGGGTTTCCAAGGCTGTAAACCTTTACGGGATCAGAAAGCCTCATCTTTCTCTTGCAGAACTGTTGGTAGTTTCGAACTGCTGACTGTGAGATTAACAGCCTGATTTGTAACCCCTATGCTACCAGAGTTCCTTTTTCTAACAAATAGAATACAGCAAAAATGTAGGATGTCACTGCTGTCTTTCTTTCTCTGTCTCTCTGATTCATTAGCCTTGCTCAGTCTGACATAGTGCATTAGGCAAATCTGCTGCACAAGACCTCTTTACAGTGTTCAAGAGCAAAGATGTCAGTTTGAGAACCAAGCCAAGATGGCCAGACTTCATCTCTCATACTTTGGATATATTATCAGGAGGGACCGTCCCTGGAGAAGGACATCGTGCTTGTTAAAGTACTCAGCTAAAAAAAGGTAGACCCCCCCGATGAGATGGATTGGTGCAGTGGCAGCAGCTCTTGGGCTCTAGCCCAGTGCTAGAGCAGCAATTGTGAGGATGGCACAGGACCGGGCAGTATTTCGTTCTATTATGCATCGGGCTGCTGTGGGTTGGAACCAACTTGACAGTATCTAAGAACCACAGCTTGAAGAAGTCTCCTGCCATTTTGTGATCTGTCATTTTGTGAAGAAGTCCACATGACAAGGAAGCCAGAAGTCGCTGAGGCCATGAGTCCAAGTCCCTGGAAAACTCTGGCTGCTGGTAGCAAACACATATGAATGTGCTTGGAAGGAATCCTTCCACAATCAAGTCTTGAGATGCCAGCAGCTCTGGTCACACCTTCACTGAAGATTGTGAGAGATGGAAACTTTCTGGTAAATTAACATGTATGTGATAACAAGTAATTCTAACAGATCACTCAGCACACTTATCTTGTTGTTAAGTGTAGTGGAATCAGTTCTGACTCATAGCAACTCTGTATAGAGTTTTTGAGGAGTGGCTGGTGGGTTTGAGCCACCAACCTTTTGGTTCAAAGTGACTTTGGAGTCCAATGCATTATTATCCAGAACTCCACATAGCATTTATAGCTGACACTATTTATTACCTGTCTCCCCTCTACTAGAATCTATGCTCTATCACAACAGGGATCCTATGTTCTATTACATTTTACTTATTATTATATTCTCGATGCCCTGAACAGTAAAAACAGACTATGGCCTCCAGCAGATGCTCAGTAAACATTTGTTGATTAAATCAATGACATGCATTTTGTGTCCTTTGCAATTTCCTAATTCTGGGAGAACACAACTAGACTACCCCACTACCACCACCACCACTATATATATATATTTTTTTTTTTGTCCTGGCTTTGTTTATCTTTTTCCTTTTTTGCCTTTTAGTTTTTCATCCCTAATTGTAACAAGCCCTCAATAATGCTTGAAAGATACTAGAAACAATACTTTATTCAAAAGTCTGTGAATCAGAGGACTGTATAAAATAGTTATTCTAATCTTCACACCCAGACTGGAATGTACCCAATGACTTGAATGGGATGATAAGACAGGTTCCAGAGCAACCAGGACCTAGCAGGCTGTGAGAGGTGACCTGGACTAAGCAGCAAAGAGCATCTTCTGCAGTCCAGGCATGGGGGACGTTCTGGAGAAGTTCTTTGTTGTTGTAGGGCTTCTGGTGTGCCTGGTTTACCTGCTGAAGTGTCTGAGATTCACTAAATATATTTTCCTGCACTTTTGGAAGGTGTTACCAAGGTCCTTCTTGCAGTCAACAGGACAGTGGGCAGGTAAAGACAACTTTCCTTTTCTTGTTGTTTGGTGTTTTCTGTCTTATTATTTACATCTGAAAAGACATAGCTCATCTTTTTGCACTGAAACAAAGATGTCATTCCCTTGGATGATTTTGATTTGAGGGACTAGAAAGCATGAGTAAAGCTAACACTATCAGGGAAACAAGATGTGGGCACCAGGAAAATATCTATGGAGGAACTTTATTAAAGTGTCCTCTATGAGCCTGTCCTTGAAGCCTCACTATCTGGGTTTACCTCTGTTTGTAGTTCTCTGACAATACAGAAAAATAAGTCAAGCAGAAATTTCTGTATCCTGGACTCCAAATTTACAAAACCACCCTAGATTGATCCAGTTGTGTTCAGTGGTATTTCAAAATTCTCAAATCTAAATGATTTTCTTTTATTTATTTTAGTTTAAATTTTAAATTTTATTTTTAAAGAAGATTCTCCTAATCCCATCATAAAGTGACAGAATTACAAAGTAAAACAACAGACTGACATGGAATCATAATTTGAAGATGGTTAGATATGAAATATAGGTGTGGTGTGTCCCAAATCTGTTCAACACTTTCTGGGATTTATCTACTGGAGCAGTCATGTGGAATTTTAACCCGTGACTGGACATAACACAAAATGGATGAGGGTTCTGGAATCTGCTTAAATGAAATGCTAAGGTATCGACAGGGGCTAATGTTTTCAGGTTGTTGTTGTTGTTGCTAAGTGCCATTGAGGTGGTTCTGACCCATAGCCACCCTGTATAGGGTTTCTGAGGAGCAGTTGATGAGCTTGAACCGCCGACCTTGCGATTCAAACCTGCATTGCAGTCCAGCCCACTAACCCGCAGTGCCACCCCAGGACTTCAGGTTGGGCACCAAGAAGTCCACAATCACTTAAAAAGAGTTAAGCTTCTTTAGAAATACCATCCCAGACAAAGTAGGAGAGATTGCTAGTAATCTTATAGGAAGAAAGATGAAATACAGTACTTTACAACTAAAAACTGAACTTGCTGTTAGATTGATTCCTACTCATGGCAACCCCATGTGTTATAGAGAACTGCTCCATAGAGTTTTTTTGGCTGTAATGTTTATTGATGTTGATTGCCAGACTGTTCTTTCCTGGTCCACTGAGTGTGTTTAAACCACCAACTTTAGGCTAGTGTTGTTGTTAAGTGTCATAGACTCAATTCTGACTCATAGCAACCCTATAATAGTTGAGATAAGCAACAGATTTTTAGTATATTATGTCTCTAATATAGGATGGGACATACATATTAACAATGTTTAGTTTTTATCTGAAATTCAAATTTAACTTGGTTTTTGGTTTGTTCTTTTGGCAGTCTTTATACTTGTACTTTAATATTCTCCTCCAACACCAAAACTCAAATGCATCAGTTCTTCTATGATCTTCTTTATTCACTGTCCAGCTTTCGCATTCATATGACTTGAGTCAGGTGCACCTTAGTCCTCAAACCGACATCTTTGCTCTTCAACACTTTAAAAAGGTCTTGTGCAGCATATTTGCCCAGTGAAATATGTTGTTTGATTTCCTGACTGCTGTTTCCAAGAGTGTTGATGGTAGATCTGAGCAAAAGTCTTTGACAACTTCAATCTTTTCCCCATTTATGTGGACATTGTTTATTGGTCCAGAGGTGAGGAATTTTGTTTTCTTTACATTGAGGTGCAACCCATACTAAAGGCTGTAGTCTTTGATCTTCTTCAGTAAGTATTTTAAGTCCTCTTTGCTTTCAGCAAGCAAGGTTGTATCATCTGCTTATTGCAGATTGTTAATGAGTCTTCCTCCAATCCTGATGCTCAGTATACAGACTGAATAAGCATTTAAAATGATATCCCTCATTCAACATCTTGGTTTGAATTTGGGTTGGATCTTTGGCAGTTCTTTGTCAATGTATGGTTGCAGCCATTTTTGTATTATCTTTAACAATATTTTACTTGCATGTGATATTAATGATCTTTTCTGATGATTTCCATGTTCTATTTGAGTCACCTCTTTTGGAATGGGCACAGAATGGATTGCTTCCAGTCATTTTAAATGTCAGATGGATCTTGTCTGAAAGCAGAGGATACCAGAAAGATGTTTAGCTGTGATTTGTTGACTATGAAAAGGTTTTTCAATTGTGTGGATCATGACAAAATATGGACAACATTGTGAAGAATTAATATTCCAGAGCACTTAATTGTGCTCCTGAGGAACCTGTATGTAGAGCAAGAGGCAGTTGTTTGAACAGAACATGGGAACACTGAATGGCTTCAAATTATGAGAGATGAAGTTTGGCCATCCTGGCCTCCAATAAAAACTGCAATAGTTAATAGAAATGTTCAGTGACTCCCCCTTGAAGTGGGTTCAGGACATGTGCCAGATCTGCCATGCCTTACCTAAGCCTTTGCATACAATGGTTTGTAATAACAAATGGGCACGATTTTGTGAAACATTATTTTTATTGTATTACTGTACTTATGATGTTTTAGTATATCTAAAAAGCATTTCTTTAATGTTTTTATGCATAAAAGGATACACTATATACTATATGGAGTCCTGGTGTGGTGCTATAGGATAAGCACTGAACCGCATGGTTGGTTTGAACCACAAGGTCAGTGGTTCAAACTCACCAGATGCTCCTTGGAAACCCTATACAGAATCGCTATGAGTCAGAATCAACTAACAACAATAACAAGAAACAATATATACTATGTACTAAGATTTGACTAACTGACGGATTGAGAAAAGATTGAAGTTGTCAAGGACTTCATTCTTCTTGGATCAACTGTCAACACTCGTGGAAGCAGCAGTCAAGAGATCAGATGACGTAT